GCTTTTGCTGTCTTCTGCCACCTGAAGCATTTTCTGTGTGCCATGCCACCCTGCTTTGCAGCCAGCTGATTATAGACTGAGACTTTCAGAGATTGTGAGCTTAATAAACCTTTCCTTCTTTAATTTTGGGCATTAGGTATTTTGTTTCAGCAATGAGAGAAAAGTAACCAAGACAAAGATACAGGTCAGATTTTTGTAGACATCCCCATATTTGTGTTTGTCTATATTTCTTCACGTTGGACTGGGTTGTAGATTCTAGGGAAAAAGGCCCAGTGGTGGCATGCTCGTCTCACAGCATCATATCAGAGAGACATGATATCACCATCACTTACTTAGGGTGATGCTGATCTTGGTCACTTGCAGAGGTGGTGTCTGCCAGGTGTCTTCACAATAAAGTTACTATGAACACCCAAGGCAAAGAGAATTGAAAGTTACTCCCTGGAGGGGGTAACATCTACTTTGTACTTGGAATTCTTTCGTAGTGAGAAGAAAGGAGTTTTCAGCTTTATTCTTGCTTTGACAGGTGAGGTCTAAGGGCCTCCTCTCTTAGACATATTTAAATTAATTTTAAAAAATACATAATACACGGGGTTAAGAAGAAGAACAAATGTATTGATACACAATTACTAAAGTATTTGAAACTCAAATGTGTGACACGGTGACACCTGTGCTTGTTCAGTAGCACCACAAATCAAGTTCTAGTGGCATGTCTCATGACTACTGTGATGTCCACGCGTTGCTGTGTCTAAGTGACATTGTGGCCAGTGACACCACAGTGGATTTTGCCCACATTACCAATGAAAGGAATGCTAAATTTCAGTGACTTGTCTGTAAAAATAAAATATAGTATCTCCCAACTGAACTTACAAATGCGATTAATTTTACCTGTTGACCCCAGCGCCTAAATCAATACTCCCAGGTTTAAATGGTCCCAGATGGCAGATTGTGCCAACTTTAAAATTTTAGACTGTACAAAAGGAAAGGCTATATGAAGACGGAAAGGCCAAGGAAAAGACAACAGGCTGTTCTCTGGACGGATCCAGAAAGAACTGGAAAGTACCAGATCGGGCAAGGAATCAGTTGGAGAGAAGCAGAAGAAGCTTCAGTCTCTGTAATGCTGAAAGGCACACAAGACAATACACTTACCATGGTGAAAAAGTTAAAGCTCAGTGGTGGCGAGCATGCTGTGAAACTGGCACTCTCATACATTCCCAGTTACAGTGCTAATTTGTGCAAAGTTTTTTTTTTAAATTTTATTTAAGGAGAAAAAAAAAGCAGAGAAAGGGTACAAGTTATATAGATTTACAGAAAAAAATAAACAGCAGGAAATCACTAGTTAATGGATTACATATTGTCATCCTAGAAATAATCGTTCAAGTCACAAAATTAAAGCTTGTAAAGTGGACATTCCAACAGTGAGACTGCAAACAGTTCCGTTCAATGATCCAATAAAACTCAGTAATATCATTTTATATCTTATACACTTAAATATACATGCAGTTATATCGTTTAGAGCACTTTCTTTTCCTCTCTTTTGTACAATGACAATTACACATTTTGGGTTTTGTTGCTCCCACAGTTCTTACTACTTTTTTGGAAGGGAGTAGAACCAAATGTGACATAACAGTCAATCAAATCAAAAGGTGGACATAATAGATAATGTAAAAGCATAATACAAGGTGATCAACAATGGTTACCATAATGCCTCCTGCTATCTCTAATAGAATTGCCTATATCATCAGTCACAATAAAATTGAACAAAACAGTAAAGAACAAAACTGACAAAACCAAAACATTGGAGACATTATAGGTCTTCAAAGGTAGATAAAAGTCATCGAGAATAGGCGTCATAATGAATCTCACTATCTTCACAGCTGTTGCCTAAACTTTCGAACCTGGTACTATCAAGCAAAACAGAATAGGGGGACATCAGTCAAAAACAAGATGGTGAGAGTAATACAGGACTTTAAATCAAGATAATGGAAAGTCAAAGTGGGTTACTATAATATATCCTGCTATTTTTTTATTTATTTTTCCTTTAATTAAAAGGATAAAAATAAAAAAGTAAATAATGAAGTGGAGATTGAGATAAAAGAGGGCATAACAGCAAAACAGCGCAGATTAAAACATAACCATTTAAACAGAATAGTGTTTCACCACAAGATAATCCTGACATAAAAGTAGTTACCATATTGTCTCTTTCCTTGAAATCTTTGAGTATAACTTTGTATACTGTAGCATCAAATACATCAAAACAATGTAAAACCATTTAAGAGAATGACAGCATTACAGGGTATTTAGAATCAACTAACAGAAAAATGAACAATGGTTTCTGTATAATCTCCTTGTCTTTAAAAGTTTTTGCTTATACTATCGTACATAATAAAATCTAATAAGATACAACCTGTTTAGACCAATGGAGACAGAAGAACAAAAGCTTGATGAGACTTCAAAACAAGATGATACTAAATCAGTATTACCTATTAAGACGTCATTTTCTCCAAAATAGCTGTTCCTATCATCCAATCTTCTCTGCCTCATTTCTGTTGAGATCTTTTTCTGTCATTTGTTGTCAGTTTGTCTTCTTCATTTTGCTTTCTGCTCCATTTATTGTGGCCTCTCTGCCCCTATTTCTGGATTCTTTGTATTTTTCTTTTTTAGAATATCCTGCAGTATTCTCTGTAGAGTTGAATTGGTGGTTGCAAATTCCCCTAGTTCCTCTTTATCCTGGAAGCACCTTGTTTTTCCATCAATTTCCAGGGATAGTTGTGCAGGATATATCAATCTTGGCTGGAGATTATTATCTTTCAAAGTTTGAATTATTTCTCCCCACTGTCTTCGTGATTTGATGGTTTGTGCAGAGAAATCTGCTGTAATTCTGATGGGTGTTCCCTTGTAAGTGGTCTGTTTCTTGTCTCTGACAGCTTTTAATATTCTGTTCTTGTATTGAATTTCTGGAATTTTTATTATTATATGCCTGGGTGTTGCTCTGTTTGGGTTGTAGGTGGCTGGGGTCCTGTATGCCTCATACATCTGAGTATCTTTACCTTTTTCTAAATTAGGAAAATTCTCCTGGATTATTTCTGTGAGTAGCTTTTGTAGCTCATTTGTTTGTGTCCCTACTTCTTCTTTTTTGTTCTTAATTCTTAAGTTATGGATCCTCTTATCATCTTCTAGTCTTTGTATTATTGCTGTTTGTTTCTTTGTTACTTTTAAGAAGTTTTTCATTTCATTCTCCCATATTACAAATCTGCCCTCCAGTTCAGATAGTCTGTCCTTAGTTTCTTTCAAGCTGTTATGCCAGTTTTCGATAGAGTTTTTAGTTTCCTGGTAGTCTCTTTGAAGTCTGCTTCACGTATTCTATGCTTTCTCTATTTTCTCCATCAAACAATTCTCCCCTCTTTTTCTGTTCTTCCATTCCATCATCTGTTTTTTCTTGGGTGGTGCTTAGCATTTCTCTAACTATTCTGCTTATTTCTAGCTTCAGGTCATTAATAACTTCATTCCTGAACTGATCTATGAGGCTCTCTAGATGGCGCTTTATGTCTATTGGTGTGGTGTCCGCTATTGCCTGTTTCTTAGGATTGGGGGCCGAGGAGCCTTTCTTGTTGCTGCCTCTTCCCATATTCTTTGTTCCTTATATATGCAAGCTTATATAGAAGGCCCAGCTTCCCTCCCTGTCAGCCACAGCCTGATCGAATTGCGCCAGCTAGGTGTTCCTGCCCACCGCAGCACACCAGGGAGTTACGGACCAGGCAGCCTACACGGGGCCCGCCCCTTCAGGCCACCCTCAGGCTCTGGGATCTGGGTTGGGCTAGCCTACTGGGTCTCCACCAGCAGCGTCACGTAGGCTAGGCACTGCTCACCAATCCCGCTTGAGAGGGGGATATGTGGCTGAAGTCACTGCAGCGCCCCGCTCCCGCAAGTCTGCCCAGTCTCAGAATGTCCTCTGTTGGAGTCTCCCAAACCGTGGGAAGAGTGTCAGTTTCTCTCACTCACCTCACCGCAAGTCAATGCACAGCTCCCCGCCCATCCAGTTTTCAACTCCGTTCGCCGATTCCCGTTCTCAGGTCTCTCTCCCTGCTGAGCCAATGTAGACGCAGCTGCCGCGAAGCGGGAAACCCAAATCGCAGCTTCCAATGGCACGGGCTCCAGCCTCCACACTGAGGCCCCTCTGTTCCTGTTCTAGCACCAGGACTGCATTCCAAGTTGGTTTCTCTCAGCCCAGTTCGTTCCTGAGTCAGCAGAGCATATCTCCACCTGCTTATGACTCCTTATTTCGCACCATTCCTGAATTCTAAGCCGAGTCTTTCAGAGAGCCTCCGTCGCTGCTGCTATCTGTCTGCCATGTTCTCCCAGAAGTCTCTAATTTGTGCACAGTTTTACAAATACATTTAGAAGCAATTTGGAAATATTAACCTAAAAGTTCAAAATCTTGATCAAGAAACCCACTTTTGGAAAGCTGCTTTAAAATCCTAGTTACATAAAGAGTTATACTTAGAGATGTGCATTGCAGCAAAGTTTACATGAGTACAAGGTTAAAACAAATTAAAGATCTAAAATGATAACAAGAAGCCGTATGACAGAATAAATGAATTCATGGAATGCTGTGCAAATATTAAATAATAATAATAGAAACAATGCAATTACATGCAACAGACTTATGTGGATCAAGATACATAGGTATGCCCTCCAGGCCCCGATTACCTTGTCTGTTAAAAGAATGATAATAATATCACCTCCTGAGATTGTTACTGACATCACAAGATGAATTTAAAGCCCCTAGTGAAGGACCTGGGACATCACAGGTGCCCAGAAGATGTTCATAACCTTTATGATGCTACGATTCTATCCCAATGAAGTAAGACATAAAATCCTATGAAAGCACGGTTGTACCACTGCAAAAATATACAGAAAAGACTGAACAGTAGACACATCGAAATACTAGCAATGGTGTGTGTAGGTAAGGTGATTGTGAATGATTTTACGCTTTTCCTCACTTTCTAAGTTTCCATAATATGCTTTTAATACAGTATTACACTATTTTATAAAAGAAAGAAAATGTATTCATAAAAATACAGCTCTCCATCCTTTCACAGTAATTGAGGTGGACCCTCTGTCAGGACAGCAAGTAATTGTGCAGTCTGAATTCTCTACGGACCTGCTGTCTCCCCAAATCTTAGAAGCAAAGAAAACTCCACTGCACGAAGCTAATGTGTCTTTATCAATTTCTGAGTCACCCCTAGATGAGTAATCAAGTACCCCAAACAAATGATTAATCAGTGTTAACCATCTCTAGAACTAAATGTTAACATTTTAGTGCACTATCCAGATGATCAATCTCAGCAGCAGTGTCAATTATACAGTACATGGCATACAGTAGGTACTCAATAAACATAAAGTAAACACAAGAAAAATGCAAGAACCACGGATGATGCACCTTCCCTGGCCTTTCCCCACACTGCAGCTGGCCAGGTGCAGCCATTCAGCCACACGGTGGCAGTGCTGCTCCACACTGGGCAGCGTGACCGGCACTGTTCACCTGGCACTGAAGGCCCGAAGTGGCTTTCCTTAGCAGGCAGTAAATCTCAGGATTCACACCAATCTCCAAAGACAGATAGTGTTGGAGTTTTCTTTGCTTCTAAGATTTTGCTTTCTTAGCAGAGTGGGGCTCATGCCTCTGGCTGTAAGAAAGATAAAAAACAACGTTTGGGAAGTTTGGGGGAGCCTGCGAAGCACACAGCCTGCACAAGGTCGATATATTCACAGGACCAAGATAGGGCAGAGGCAGCCCGGAAGGCCATGACCGCAGGGGTTTGAAATAGGCTGTCCCGGGAAGGATGGCCACAGGAGGCAGTGCTCTGGGGCGCAGGGGGAGGGGAAGAGCAGAGATGTCAGGGTCACAGACTGGGCTTCACATCTCTGCTTAACCTCCAAACAAGTCTCTTGGCCTCCCGGCTGCATGTCCTTGTCTGTGAAGTGGGTGTAAGGCCTTGCAGGGCTCAGAGATACTTAGATGAAATCATACATTTCCAGGATTGAGTGTGACGCCTGAAATGCAGCAGCTCCAAGCCTCACTTATTATCAAGGCTGCTGTTGTGGCTGTTGCTGATGATTGTGGTGTCGCTAATGAGGCACAGAAATCCCAGGGAAGACTCTCAGCACAGAGGGACACACAGATTAGGTAATCAGCCAGGGGGCTGTGAAGCGACTCCTTCATCTCTCACCAGGGAGAACCTGAAAGAGCAAAGTGAGAGGCAAGAAACTGAGCTAGTGTTTGTTTGTTTTCCTTGAAAGGTTGCGTGTTTGGGGGAGAACTAAGGTGACTTTTGGATTTGCTTTGGGAGGGAAGAAATGGCTAAGCTCTTTACGTTTCTTCTCTTTCTAGATCTCTTTCAAACTCAGACCTTGTGCTTGCCAGGCAGGCATTGTCTGCTGAGCTGTATCCCTGGCCCTTTCTAAATTTCAAAGCCCAACTTGCATTCAAGGAATCGCAGCCCCAATAGCCACAGTAAGGAGTTTTGTCTAACGAGACATTCAGACTTTAGCTCCTAGATCCAGGCAGACCTTGTCCGTGCCTTCTCTCAGCAGGCAAAGGTAGGGCTGCTTTACGCCTCATGTAGTTATCCTTGGGGAATTTTTTCAAGTCTACTCTAAGCTTATAAAATATGATTGGTGAGAAAAAGCAGAGAGCTAGGATTGCTTACACAAATGAAAGAGAAGATTAAAAGAGAAGAGAGACACTTATAATAACCTCCAAGTCTCAGATTTACTGCACATTGGAAGGCAATCAAATGTTCTCCAATTTTTACTGAAGGCGTACAGAAAAAGTAAAACTTTTTTATGAGGAAAACGCAGAAATATGGGAGAAATATAATTGAAACATAGGTAACTCATGCTTTACAAGCGTGGTCCCCTTACACTTTTGAATATATAAGAAAATGCATGACATTGACCCTTAAAATGGAAGTCACAATGATCACAATCTACATAGACTCATGCACAAGGTCTCTGGATTTTATCGCCGTAGTGTGTGAAGAACACCTGGACTGAGTGTTTGTGTTAGGCATGGTGGGCCATGAGTAGCAAACCACTGCTCACTCATTTTACACCCATCGAAGGTAGACAGGTGTCTCTGTTCTGTGTTGTCCCTCGGGGTGGGCCCCTGAGGTTGGGGGAGGGACACACATGCTCACTCTGAAAGATTTCCCCCCACTCGACTTCTTTGTACACTGCATTGGTCAATGCAAGTGTCCAGGCTACAGGGAACTGAGACTCTACTTGGGGGAAGAAAGGAAATTGAAATCTGAGCATAACTAAGGAACTGTCCAGGGTTTACTAGGACTTCTGACATTTTACAGTGGTCAATCTGTCAAGTGAAAAATGCATACACCACAAGGTATTTCATGACTGTGACCGTCCCTGTCCCAGGGATGAACCACCCTGGGAGGCCTGAGACGAAACAGAACACAACAGAACAGAACCTAAACCCTCTTGCTCCTTTTCTATCTATAATAACGTGCGTTAGCCTTCTAAGCACAGCAAGTGATTAGCTCATTTAGTCAACAAATCTCTATTTAGCTCCAACTAAGTGCCAGCGCTGGAAATACAAAGACAAAATAAAGCACAATCCCACTCCCAGTCATCCTGTTGGTTAGTCTAGTTGTTCTGTTGGGTTTTAGGGTTGAGGCTTGATGTGAATGAAGTCTGGGCTCACCAGAGATCCAAGTAGAAGTCATGGATGGAAGGACTCCCAAAGGAGCCACCAGCCCAGCCATCAGAGGCTGCTGAGTGTTTGCACTCCAGCCCCTCCCAGGACCAGACACCCTCACTGCCGGCTCTCCTCACCTCTCGCCTTGGCTGTTTCCCTGTCCTTTTTTGCTCCACACTCTTCCTAAGGCTTCCTTCCCTGACACCCCCACCCAATCTCCTGGCTCCTCTCTCACCACTTTTGCCTTGGGGGTTTCTGTTTTCCACATACCACAAGCTTCCTGCCTCTAAATTCCCCTCAGCCTGGAACCCACTCGCCTCTCCCACCTCCAATTGGAAAGATGCTCATGGGTATGTAGGATGAGTGACCAGTGACTTCCTTGTTGTAATCCATAACGGTCATGAGCTTCTTGGTTACTGCAGTGCAACATTTCCTCCTCCTTCCTCTTCTTTGGGCACTGGACCATCTCAGCCCTTACCACACACTTCTTTATGCATAAGTCTTCATTAGGGAATTATGAGCTCACCATGGGTCTGGTCAAATGCTCCAACACTGTCCATGGATATTTCTGTGGCAGAAAAGTATGAGATGATCAAAGACATCTGAGCATAAGAGTATCTCACATGAGGACAGGGCTCTGAGTAGGAAGGTATAAAATGGAAATAGGATTTCAAGGAAAAGAAAGAACACAACTTACAACTTCCAGCTATACAGAAAACATTATTCATTGGAATCCTCATTGTATGAGTTCAGTGTCAAATTGTTCTGTTGTTTAGAGTCCACAGGATACGCTACATTTAGAAATCAATGTGTGTTTTATTGCAAAATATTAGCATTTCTATTGTGTCAGGATAACAACATTGAGACCAGTTAGATTTAAGATAAAAAGTAAGAGTATATGCATTAAGAGAACATTAGTTGAATAAAGAATAGTGTCTTCCACATCAGTTAATACTAAGTATGACGAGAAGAGACAGAAAAATTAACATAGTAGTGACTTAAGCAAAGAAATGTTCCTATTCCTGAAATGCTATTGGGGTTAAAGTATCTCTCACCTATAAAGATATGGGTTTGGGCAGTCCAAGTCCAGTGTGGCAATGTCACGGTCATCCTGGCTTGTAGTTTTCCATCCTCAGCAAACTGCCTCTACCTCATAGTTCAGCATAGCTGATGCAGCTCTTTCCAGTGTACCCACACTCCAACTAACAAGAAAAAGACGAGAAACAGAGAATCCTCTTCTAGGACAATTTCCACAAGTAGCACCAATGCTTCTGCTTATGTCTAACTGGCCAAAACTCAATCACATGCAAGGGAATGCAGGAAGCACGATCTGTTCTAGGCTTTTTGTGCCTGCGAAAAACTGAAAAATCTGAAGAAGAAAAGAATACATATTAAAGGACAAAGATCAATGTAGCCCACATGTACATATGGGTACCTCGTAAGCATTTTGAACTGAATATGAGAAATTTGGACTCACGTTTTCTCCAAACTTGTTCTCCTTAGTCTTCTCCATCTCAGCCAATGGAGGGCTGCAGCCTGCTTGAATCTGATGGGTAGGTACCACATGCAATGCCCTGCATCTGGGACATTTAATAGAATGTCTGCACTTTGTTACTCAGGTTTCCCTGGGAGGGGTGCGGATGCAGAATCTTGGGACTGGGGCTGGAGCCATTTAGCCTGTGCTCAAATCTCAGCTCTAAGATCTTTTTTACCTGAGTTCTATCTCGGTACTACCCACACTACTTCTACGGCTACTACTAGGTGTGTGACCTGAACAAGCTACTCAGTCTCTCTGTGCCTTAGCTGCTTCACCTACAAAACAGGGGTGTTAAATGAAATCTATCCCATAGGATAGATTGCTGTGAGAGATACAGAGCTCATACAGGTTAACATGTTCCTGATGATGCCTGGAGCATTATCAACACCCTGTCAGCGTCACAATGATAACTACTGCTGTGGTTAGTATGTAACAGAGCAGTGTCCCTGATCCCTGACTATGCATGCAAATTGCCCTGGGGATCTTGCTTAAATGCAGATTCTAGGTCAGCAGTAGCAGGGCTGAGAGTGTGCCGCAACCCCCCTCCCTGGGCACCCTGAGTTACAAAGTGCATTCATTCTATTAGATGCCCCAGATGTAGTGCGTTGCATGTGGTACCTACCCATCAGATCCAAGCAGCCCATGGCTCCCACTGGCTGAGATGGAGAAGACTGGAGGGGAACCAGGTTTGGAGAGAGAGGAGACTGAATTTTTCATATTCAGTTCAAAATGTTTATGAGTTACCTGTACATACATGTTGGCCATACTAATCATTGTCCCTTAATACGTATTCTCTTTTTCTGTTTTTAGCAGGCACAAAGTGGTGCGTGTTAAGCACTTGTCAAGCTCACCCTACTAGTTTTCCACCTTTTACATATGATGGATGGTTGTGTGAATGAATGACTGGTGGAGTCTCTAAAATCTACATAAATAAAAAGTTTGATGAAAACAGTAGTGGCTTAGGAAGTGATTTGGAACTGTCATCCCCCAAATGGTGAGGAACACCCTGAGGTTGGAGGATGCTGCCTTCACGTGCTCAAGGCCTGACAAGCCTCAGAGGACAATGGCATGATACCAATAGAAATGACCGAAATGACACTAGTTCACGCTCTGAGTTCAGGCTAACGTACACTGTATCTTTCTGGGATGCCCATAATGTTTCTAAGTAGTGCTCACTAAAATGCTCGCTCTGTCTAGGCATCTCAACTTCCTGCTACTTCCCATGAGACACCTTGGTTCCTTGGAGCAGTCACTGTGACTGAGTCCTGCTGGTCCCCCAGTCCTGCCACCTCTGACTGCAGACTATGGCTGGAGAGCTCACTCTGCTGATCTTGTACTCACTGTGCTGTCCACTGAAGGACAATACCTCTGGCCTTTTGTGCTGCTCTCCACTGCATATACTAAGGCTGACTGCATGTGTGCCTATCTTTATGGAGACTGCAAACAAACGTACAAACCTTCAAACGTCTGTCCACCAGGAGGCTCAAATATTCATTCCTCCTCTGCAGGGCTCAGGTATGTATGAGAACTAGGCCAGTCTGAGAATCACTGTTGGATCTAGCTGGCCATGCCAGGAAGTTCTATCCCCATGGGCTCTTCAGTGCCCATCAAAGAGCTTTCCATAAAGGACATACAAGTTTGACAAGAAGTCCCAAGTGATTTTGACCATCACCTTAATTTTAAATGTCCCAAACCCTACTTTTCTCCTACAGTAACTAATGCATTACATGCTGAACTTGTTTATAAAAACAAAGTGGGATTTCTAAGTGTGTGTGTATCAATTCAGAGAGTGAAGATGCATGTTCTCTAACTCCTTCTGCCCTAAGTCTTACTAGCAGTCCTTCGATTCCACTTATTCCTAGGCTCCAGGCATTTTCATCATACACCTTATGAAAAAGTGCCATTTCTCCACTGTATAGAGACAAAACTTAAGAAGTTGTGCAACTGTTTGAAGGTCACACTTTTATTAATAAAGAAAATTCCATTCGTATCTACGACTGTCTCAAGTACAATGAAGACTTTGACCTTGTGGGCCCTTCTGTGTATTAAACCAGTTAGGAGAAAAAAGGGGATGACCCGGCGGAACTTCAGTGATGACCAGAGCTTCGCTCCTACTGTCTTCCTGCCCCACCTCGACCTGGAACTTAGGGTGCTCCAGGAAGGAGGCCCCGCCCTGGCTTCCAGCTCCGCTCCCAGCCCCTCCCCGGCCCCAGCCCCGCCCCTGCCCCGCCCACATCCCGGCCCCGGCTCCAGCCCCTCCCCTCCGCGTCCCCGCCCCGGCCCCAAGCCCCAGCCCAAGCCCCGCCCCTGCCCACAGCCCCGCATCTAGCCCCGCCCCGGCCCTAGCCCCGCCCTTGCCTCCAGCCCCGCCCGGGCCACTCACAGTCCTCTCGCGGCAGCCACTTCCTGTCCCGCGGGCGCCTCAGGTCAGTGCGGTCGAGCGGCGCTGGGCTCTCCCCTGGGGCTTGGTCCGGCACCGCCCCCCCAACCCGAGCACAGGCTACCGATTTGGGGCTCAGCGATGGTGCGGTATGGTACTGGCTGCGGGCTGGGTCGTCCGCTGAGGACGCTGTGGCCTGAGCTAGGAGCGGTTGCCGGGCAACGGTGTGGCCGGCCCCGCCTTCCGGCCTCCTGCGCTGGGCTGTGCGGTGCGGCGCAGCTTTGTGCTGGTTTCCGGCCGTCTGGGCCTTTGCGGAGGGCAGCTCTCAGCGCCCTGACGATGTCCCTGCACTGGCCGCGGGGACCATGCGCTGGGAAGAGAGGGGATGACCCTTCCTGTAGGGTTCTCAGCTTTCCCTCTGACCCTCACACCCTTAGACAAGTTAGTCCTAGTCCCCGGTGGTTGAGAGGTTGTTGTGTTTCAGCGGCAAAGAACTCATAGCAACCATTCATTCGGCCAAGCCACAAATTCCATTTTACAGATAAGGTATCTCACATAGCACAGAGTTGTGCATGGTGCTGCAATCACCCCAAATTGCCCCCCAGGTTTGATTATGGTTTCCATAGTACAAGTAAGGCTCAGAGGCTCAGAAGAGTTGTGACTTTAGCCAAGGTCACTCAGCTTGTAATTGGTGGAGGTACAAACACAGAGACGAGCAAATAACTCACAGTTTGCTTGCGGTAGATTTATAATTCAGAGATACAGAAACGTTTCGCGATTACACCATAATGCCTACATGTGAATCAGAATCACCTGGAGTATGTTTAAAATACACACTCTGGACGCTCTCCCAGGCTTCCTGACTGATAAATCACACGGTCTGATTCGAGGGATCTGCGTTATTCGGGTTTTCTGGCTGATCTATATAGTGTGTAGATGAACCTTGGGTACCACTGAGCACATCATGCAGCCTCTCACTCAAACAGCTGTGAGGTGATAAATCCAAAGTACCTTGGAGGGAATTTGAGAAGACACCAGGTACACGTGGGCATCTATTTCTAATCCTTCTAGTAGTTGCAGGCTTTCTTCAGAAACAAGCTAGAAGCATACATTTGAATCATGTAGACATGTAGATGCAAGTTGCCGCATCATTGATTACCTTTACATCACCAAGTCCAAGCTTCCTAACCAAAGTCAGGCATCAGCCCCCCTTTATCTCTGGGGACCTGTCTGTGGGTTGCTCTTTTGCTCTCCTTCATGGCAGTCTCTGAATCACAGTGGTTCGTGTTGGCTTTGGAGGAATTATTTGCAGAGCAGTTTTGACTAGTAGAGAAGGCTGGCAGCTCTCTGGAAGAATCATCTCAAATAATGAGTGACCCTTGGCTGTGAGCAGCAGTCGGAGTAAAATGAATTTCCTTGCTGTTATTCATGACTGTTATTCATGCTGTTATTTATGAACACAAATCTGCCTTTAAAAGAATCACTTGGCTCTTAGTTGTAGAGGGCTAAAAAGCCTGACGGTTCTGTTTAATGTTTTATTATTAATCTCATCATTTATGCTGCCTCCCTTAGGAATTTGGCCCACAATGGCTGATGATCAGGAGAAAGACTTGCAGAAATTTCTTAAAAATGTGGATGAAATCAGTAAGTACCACTAAAGCATAAACAAATTGAATTCTGCTTTGGAGAGATGGAGTGGCCAAAGACAATTGAGAAAGTTAGTTCCAGAGTTGCTTGTCAGGTTTATGACTGTTAAAAAAAAAAAAAGTAATTGAGCTTTTTAAAAGGGGGATATTGAGAAATACCCTCGAGGCAGTACTTTTTGGCTGTTAATTGGTATCATAGAAGCTGTTAACATTCTGATTGGTATTCAGACTGACAGCTCTCTCCACATTTCAGCCCCTTTCTGGTCAAAAGGAGCAGCTATTTCCCCTGGCCAGTGAGCCTGGCAGTTGCCTTTTAGGGAGGTCACTCATGAATGCCATTGATCAGTCTGGTGTCCCTCTTGTTTCAGGGTAGAGTCATTTCTGTTTTGAACTGTGCAGGCAAAGTCAAATTGTTTTCCCCCGAAGGTCTATTAAATTACACGGGTGGCTTATGATTCTTCTCTCTTTCTCTGTCTCTACCCAAGAAGACCGGTCTCCAGCTCAGACAGTGGGACTCCAGAGAATGTTCTCTGATCCCACATAACACATTCAGGAGATTCCAAACAGGTCAGACCCTGTTCAGACTTCAGGGAGCTTGTCTGACGTGGAATCAAGCAAACAAGCAACCTACATAGAAAATAGAAACATATTAAAGTGCTGCTCCCAGCACACAGTATGGGTGCAAAGAATTTTAAAAGTAGTTTGGGCACCCTCACAGTAAAATGTACTAGCATGCTGGTGTGTTTTGGGTCTCTCTTCTGCTCGGCCCTGAAAGACGTCTCTGAGTTTTGGCCATGCCCACAGCTTACCTGGCTCTTCATGTGATTTTCCACCACCTGTTTGTGCAGGGGCCTCGATAATCTGCTCTGTATGGTTCCAGTGTTTTAGCACATGTTCTGCAAGGCGAGCACATAGCCACCACCTTTGCTCGCTGCTGCCCCATCTGAGCTGAAACCCAGGCTTCTGTTTCAAACCTCAGCCTCTATAGCCAACTGCATGTCCATCAACTCGGACAGATGCCTCGAGCTCTGTGTGTCCAAAGCGGAGTCATCCCCTCTTTCCCCCTCTGACCTTCTCCTGCCTTCCCCTTCCGGTCTCAGTGGGTGCCCCGCCATCCACAGACCCACCAGCCTTACCTAAGCTCTCCCACCTCTCTACCTTGCATCCAATCGGCTGCAGGTTTGGCCTCTGCTCAGCTCCATCCTCTCCAACCCTCCCTCTGTTCTGGTTCCTCTCAACAGAATTTCAACAACCCTTAATTGTTGTTTTTGCCACCAGGCTCATACTCCCCACTGAGTCAAGTATCTAAAATGCAGATCTGGCCCAGACACTTCTCTGCTTGGATTCCTTCTCAGTCAAAATAAATCCCAGGCCCTCTGGTCCCCACGTGACTTTGCTGTCACCTCGGTCACCTCCCTGCTCCTCACAAGCTGCTGTGGTTTCCCACACATCGCTGCTGTTTTATGCCCTGCGCTTGGTCCTCGTATTTCCCACTGCTCCCCGTCTTCTTTATCAGACTTGGGGTTCTCTCAGGGATCACTTAGACCGGCATTGTCTGATAGAACCTTCTGTAACAGTGGAAATAAACTGCACTGTCCCATAAACTGCATTATTCACTGTAATCTGTATTGTTCGCTGGACACACGTGGCTGTTGACCATTTGAAATGTGGCTAGTGTGGCAGAAGAACTGAATTTCTAACTTTATTTCACCTTCTTACCGATTTAAGTTTCCATAGCCCCATGTATTTGGATTCTATACACTCATTTCTTGCATTCTTGTGGCGGTATTTCTAGGCACCGTATGGTAAAAGAATACCTGTAGTTCAGTGGGGAAAACAGATGCTAAATAATTTGAAAGTGATTTGTGACACAAAGAAAGACTTGCAAAGGACAGGAGAGTCCAGCCCAGTTCAGAGAGTGGTCTTAGTCACTAGAGCCGCTATAACAAAGTACCACAATTTGGGAAGCTTAAGCAGCAGAAGTATATGTTATCACTGTTCTCGAAACTAGAACTTCAGGGATGAAGGGTTGGCAGGATTGATTTCACCTGAGGCTGCTGTTGAAGGCCATCCATTGGTGTGGGTTGACATGGTCATCTCTCTCTAGATGTTTTTGTGGGGATACCAGTCACACTGGATCAGAGCCCCTCCCTTATGATCCCATTTAATTATCTGTTTAAATAAAAGCCTGTCTGCACATCTCCAAAAATAGTCATATTAGGGCTTAGGGCTTTGAATGGGGGGGGGACATAATTCAGTCTAATAAGATTTCCATGAATAAGTGAAATTTAGGCAAAATTTGAGGCGTGAGTAGGCATTTGCCACTGAGGACAAGTTTGGGGAGGGTTCCAGATGGGAAAGAAGGAAGGGGCGTAGCTGGAGTTACAGTAAAAGGCTGGTGCCTTTAGAAACGGAAGGAATGGAAAGTTCCATATGACTGGCTGGAGAGAGCCAGGAGAGAAGGCGCCATCTGAGGGAGGGAGGCCAGATCAGAGGAGGCCTCGGGAGCCACAGCAGCGAGGCTGTGAGAGAGCTGTGGGAGTCTTGTCCTTACACCAGGTCAGAATGATGCTGTAGAAAAGCACCTCCAGCCCGCTTGGAAAGGGGACTGTACTGGGAAGAAAAGGGGTGTCCTGAGAGCAGGGAGGGGGTCCTTGCAGCGTGTGTTGGGGGCTGGGGTTGGCATCATGGCAGTGGGAGTGGACACGGTGCCCAGCTTCGGGGAGCCTGTAGAAGTCACCCTGGATGGGCTCTGGTGTCTGAAGCTGTGAGGACGGAGGGAACATGGAGACTAAAGATGAGTCCCGAGAGCGGCATGGCATTTGCTGAGATGGAAGGCTTGGAGGAGGAGGCGGCTGAGTTAAGGTGGCTGCGTCCTAGGGAAGGTGTTCACAGGCATTAACTTTGCAGGGTGCGAACGGAAGAGATGCACACCTGAGCTTGAGGACAGACACAGGACAGCTGGATCCTTAAAAAGTGCAAAAATACTTACCAGGTAGTTTCAGACAAAATAGACGGTAAGGCAGCGGCCATAATTATTTCTTGACTTTCTTTAGGCTTAATTGACAAATAAAATTGCATGTAATTTTGGCGCGCAGTGTGATGTTTTGGTTTATGTCTATGTTGTGCAGTGATTGAGTCTAAGTAACCTAACTATCAGTTCTCATAGTAACACTTTGTTCATGAGAACATTTAAGACCTATTCTCTTAGCAGTTTTCGAGTGTGCAGTACATTATTATTAACTAGCCCCATGCTGTACAATTAAGCTGCAGAACTTATTCTTCCCGTGTGACCGAAATTTTATTCTTTTGACCAACATGTTCCTGTTCTCAACCCCCAGGCTCTGGTACTCACCGTTCTACATTGCTTCAGGGACTTTTTCGGCTTCCTATATGAGTGAGGTCATGCAGTACTAGTCCTTTGGTGCCTGGATTGTTTCATGAGTTCTCCTTTTTGTTAAGAGTGCGCACATGTGGTGTGTACACCCTGTCTTGGTTCATCTGTTGATGGACACCGAGAGTGACTTGCTACCTCCTGCTGGGGCTGGGCTGCAGTGAGGGTGGGGTACAGATGTACAGATGTCTCTTTGACGTGCTGACTTCTTTTCCTCTGGGTGAGTACCCAGAAATAAATTTACTAGATCATGTTCTAGATCTGTTTTTAATTTCTGGCATCAGTGAAGACTTCAGTTACAATCCCAAAGTAGATCTAGCAAAATTATGAGAGCCTTTCATGGATAAAATTATAAAGTTTAATTGAAAAAGATCGCACTGGTCAAAACTGGAAACATTTCAGCAACAAGTTAAGCAGTGTACTACTATAATACAAAGTGTAAGATAAATATCTATGAGTCCATACTGATATAAATAAATGACTGGAGGCCTGACCTAATGGTGTATGCCTGTAATCCCAGCACTCAGGAGGCTGAGGCAGGAGGATTGCTTCAAGTTTGAGGCCAGCATGGCTATAGTATGTTCAAGACCAGCCTCAACTACCTGCAAAACACTCTCCAAAACAAAACAAAATTGTGGAATAAATAAAAATAAGTAAGTAAATAAGGCCAACTTCCCATTCAGATGAAGTTCAGGTAATTTATATAGACGATGTTCTAGCAGGAGAGGGATCATAACCTTCAAATCTTTTAGTATGAGATACATTTAGTAGCCGAATACAGGTCAAAAAGGGAGGGTAGAAAAATGACTTTAGAGTGAAAGAAAAACTAACACACAACTTTAGACAAACAACCAAGGCTAACACCACAATAAGTCACATCAGCATCAAACATTGTATAATATCAATACAATATAATATCAAAAAATTGATATTATACAATGTTTAATCTTCCTCTCCAGATTCTAACCGTGAGAAATAGATAAACACTAACTGAATCACTGTCTATAAAATACCTGACTGTTATACCTCAAAACTGTCAAGGTCATCAAAAACATGGAAAGTTGAGAAATTGTGACAGCCTAGAGAAAATGTAATGAGGTATCTTTGCTGAGAGACTAGAACTAAGAAAGGATATTAAGGAGAATCTAATGAAATTAGAATAAATTATAGCTTAGTTAATAAGAATTTTAATTAAAAAAGAACATCTAAATAAATAAAGACTTTTTTTTTCATGTCTGGGAAGACCCACTTGGTGAAGCTATAAGCTCTCAAATTATTTTGTACACTCAGTACAACTCACATCAAAATTCCCAAAGAGGCTTGTGCTAAAATTCAGTCGGCTGATCCCACAGTTCACATGGAAGAGCAAATGACCAAGAATAAGCAAGAAAACGCTGCAGGAGAAAATGGCAAGAAACTCTTACTCACTGCTACAGGCTTCTTACTGGTGCTGCAATAGACAAGCCGTGGAGAAGAGCCTGGAAAGATTTCATACGCAACAGGAATGATGGCTCATCTGTGAGAAGGCAGGAACCCCCAGCAAATGAGATTCCTGCCCAACCCAGAAACCAACGCCAGGGGCATTCATTTCATTAATGAGCAAA